CTTCGGCCTGTCTGTCTTCTTACCCGAGCTCCTGGTGCTGGTGACAGGGGAGACGGGGTTGGTCTGTCAGTTTTCCGTCATACTCTACTTGACGGTTCATATCTTCGACCTGTTGAAGTTTTGTACAGTAGTTTAGGGATCAATATCAGGAAATAATGTTTGCCTTTATTAAACAAGCAATATTTATAGTTCAATTAAACACGTACTGAGCCACACTCACACACACTCACACACACTCACACACACACACTCACACACACACACACACACACACACACACACACACCACACACACCACACACACACACACACACACACACACACACACACACACACACACACACACACACAGGGGCATCAGGGTGAAAGAAACTGTGCCCAATTGTTTCCGGCCTCCGGCAGGGATCATATCCGGAACCTTAGGACTACGAATCCGAGCGCTGTCTACTCAGCCGCCATGTCCCTGAAAACTGTCAATGAGTGTCACCCCTCTTAAGAGAGAGAGAGAGAGAGAGAGAGAGAGAGAGAGAGAGAGAGAGAGAGAGAGAGAGAGAGATAGCACTAGAGCGCGCACTCTCTCTCTCTCTCTCTCTCTCTCTCTCTCTCTCTCTCTCTCTCTCTCTCTCTCTCTCCCCTCTCTCTCTCTCTCCCTCTCTGAGCCAGTACAATACCTCATGCAGGAGGGAGTTCGCGGTGGCCTGGGCCAGGGTGGCGTGGTCCAGATGGGCCACCAGCCGCCTCCTGAGGGAGGTGGAGGCGCGGTCCAGCTGCTCCAGGGCCTCCTTCACCTCCTGCACCTCCTCCCCGTTCTTCCTGGCCCTCACCTGCAGGAGAAGGCAAGGTTATGGCCGCCTGGGTCCTCCTCCTCCGTCTCATACTCGAATTGATTCGTTTGTCATTTGTTTTTGCTTTTGTTATTTAGAAGATGAAGTGGTTAATAGTGTTTACGTGTAAACTTTATTTGTTGAGTTGTGTGTGTGTGTGAAGTTGTGCCTGTACTTGATTGTCATTGTTTTCTGATTGTTGTAATGAAAAGTTATAGTTGTGTTTGTTATGTATATAGACAACTTTAAGTAATTGTTTAATTAAGGTTTAAGTTTTAAAGATTAATATGATGACAATTTATAGGAATTATTGATTATGGTGAGGAAGGATATATTATAAATTCATTGTAATCTCTCAAGTGACTATTAACAAAGAAACTTCTGACGTTGGGTTGAAATGCATAATATTCAATGGAACCAAAAAGCCTTATCAAACCTCCTTTGAGATAATTTAACATTCCCTAGGTTATAGGCAGATAACCTAGGTTATAGGCAGATAACCTAGGTTATAGGCAGATAACCTAGGTTATAGGCAGATAACCTAGGTTATAGGCAGATAACCTAGGTTATAGGCAGATAACCTAGGTTATAGGCAGATAACCTAGGTTATAGGCAGATAACCTAGGTTATAGGCAGATAACCTAGGTTATAGGCAGATAACCTAGGTTATAGGCAGATAACCTAGGTTATAGGCAGATAACCTAGGTTATAGGCAGATAACCTAGGTTATAGGCAGATAACCTAGGTTATAGGCAGATAACCTAGGTTATAGGTTATAGGTTCTGTATAGGCAGAACAATACAATATATATTAATTATAATTTACACATGAGAAAATATTGTTTTCCATCACATCGTTTGTTGAAGTTGCTGGATGTGTTTGGGGGTCAGCCGCCGCTTGGACGAGCCTCGCCTGAGGATGGTTCAGGTGAAACAACGCAGCTCGCCCTCGTGATGTGTCACAACATTCAATATTAGGCGTACTAGAATGCATGACCCCCAACACAGCCTCCTAATGTCTTGGAGGCTGATTGGCTGTCGTAGACAGCCAATCAACGCATTGAAAACATCGATATTTGAGCACTGACTGGCCTCCCTGGCTATAGCCAGTCCGTCCTCATCAACAAAGGTCAAATGTTCGGTAATCCACTCCAGCTATAATCCCGCTGTTTATGAATAAAAAGGATTTACACGATTCACAAGTGGTGACAGGTGGTGGACTGACCTGTAGGAGGGTGGTGACCCTGGCGCAGGTGGTGGTGTAGGTGGTGAGGGAGGTGGCGAGGACGGCAGTGAGGTGGGTGAGGTGGTGGCCGGCACAGGTCTCCAGTGCCACGGTGTCACACTCCCGGCACCACATGCGCAGACGACTGGTTAAGAGAGTGCCACATGCGTTAAATACATCTTACTTACTCCTTTTCCTGCCTGGGAACTACACCTTGATTTGCATCGTAACTTCCTGCCTGTCATTCATTATCTCATCATCATCCTTATCATCATCATCATTATTATCATCATCATCACCTGTGTGATGCCTACTGTCCTGTCTCTCATCCGATGATTCTATCTCATGATTTTTCTATCTCAGTTTTCAATCAGACACTCTTATTGGGTCATTATTTCTCACACACATATATCTCTGTAAGTTATTCTTTCTCTCAAGCTTCCTTGATCAATATATCTCACACCATCTCTCTCACATTGACTGTTTCTCACTCCACGACCTTCTCATTATACGTTCTCTCCTTAATACAATGTCAATAGATTTCTAAAATAAAGACGGCAATTAACTAATAATTACTAGGGGGAAGAAATTGTGAAATAAATAAATACATTCATGCCAAACATATCGCCAAATCCCGAAGAATTTTTTTCCGAAGCCTTAAAGAAATAGAAGAAAAGTCAATCCTTGTTAACTCAATAGAACAAATCCACAAGGGCCGTGACGAGGATTCGAACTTACGTACGTCCGAGAGCATCCCAGACGCTGCCTTAATCAGTAGTCAGTCATTAGAGTCGGTAAGCTGTGTCAGACTTGTGGACGGAGGGCCCATATTGCCCCCATTTTTGAAAGAGAGAGAGAGACAGCTTACTGACACTTAACAACTGTCCAATTATTAAACGTCAATTAAGGGAAAGTAGGTTGAATCGGAGCAGAGACGTTTTAAACTTGATCAATACGCGGTTATCACACAAGAAACAGCATCAACTGGGTTCGCATGTAATGTGGGGGAACAAACGTACGTCAATGACTGAGACTTTAGTAACTTTAGCAGCCATGTCGATAGGTGCTAAAATAACTAAGACTAAATAGGTGCGAAAAATAACTTTAACCAGAAGAGCTAAACAGACTTTTAAAAGGAACTGGAAAATAGCAGACGCAGTTAATAGTGATAAATATAGGGATGTTAGCCTCGGTTAATAATAATAATAAAAAGGTATCAGTATCAGGTTAACAATAAGTGATTGTGAAATTTATCTGGGAGCCATGATCCAAATCCCCCACCAAAAAAAATAAATTCATAAATTGTTTAAAACAAGGCCAATAATGTGACTATCTAGAGGAGTTAGTAATAAAAATGATACTGTTATCTCAGGGTCATATGCACTGAGTGGTGTAACCCATTTATCGATGTGTATGCACTCAGATTTGATTTTTTTTATGTTGTTGCAGCCGAAGGCGACTAGTTTATTGTGCACCCCATACTCATCCTGTGAGCGGTAGCGCAAAAAAGGGTTACAGAGAGGCACAAAAGGTTTTTTTTATCAGGGTTCAACTGGCGTTTATTAGATTAATAATTTCATCTGTTCTTCGTATTTTATGATTATAATACTCAGAGTTTTATTTTGTTCTGGACAATGTTCAGGTCTATAGTTAACTTGTTGGTTGGTCACACTCACTGCCTCTCACCTGTGTCTCACTCACTGCCTCTCACCTGTGTGTCTCACTCACTGCCTCTCACCTGTGTGTCTCACTGCCTCTCACCTGTGTCTGACTCACTGCCTCTCACCTGTGTCTCACTCACTGCCTCTCACCTGTGTGTGTCTCACTCACTGCCTCTCACCTGTGTGTCTCACTCACTGCCTCTCACCTGTGTGTGTCTCACTCACTGCCTCTCACCTGTGTGTCTCACTCACTGCCTCTCACCTGTGTGTCTCACTCACTGCCTCTCACCTGTGTGTCTCACTCACTGCCTCTCACCTGTGTGTGTCTCACTCACTGCCTCTCACCTGTGTGTCTCACTCACTGCCTCTCACCTGTGTGTCTCACTGCCTCTCACCTGTGTGTGTCTCACTGCCTCTCACCTGTGTCTCACTCACTGCCTCTCACCTGTGTGTCTCACTCACTGCCTCTCACCTGTGTGTGTCTCACTGCCTCTCACCTGTGTGTGTCTCACTGCCTCTCACCTGTGTGTGTCTCACTGCCTCTCACCTGTGTGTGTCTCACTGCCGTCTCACATGTGTCTCACTCACTGCCTCTCACCTGTGTCTCTCACTCACTGCCTCTCACATGTGTGTGTCTCACTGCCTCTCACCTGTGTGTGTCTCACTGCCTCTCACATGTGTCTCACTCACTGCCTCTCACCTGTGTCTCACTCACTGCCTCTCACCTGTGTGTGTCTCACTCACTGCCTCTCTCATGTGTGTATCACTCACTGCCTCTCACCTGTGTGTGTCTCACTGCCTCTCACATGTGTCTCACTCACTGCCTCTCACCTGTGTCTGACTCACTGTTTCTCACCTGGATACTCCTTTGGCTTTCTTCCTGCCGGACTCAATAAGGCTGACAAGGTAGAAGTTCTGGGAGAGTCCGCTAGGTGGCACCAGCGTCACCAGCCGGCACTCTGGGCACGAGAGCTCTCCCTGTGGACACAAGCACGTGATGGTGAGTCCCCTTCACTCTCACCACGTCTCACATTCACTCTCACACCACGCCTCACCTTCACTCTCTCTCTCCCTCTCTCTCTTTCTCCTACTCACCACATCCTTGCTGTTGATCCTGTCCGTCTTGCTAGGATGGACCTTGATGAGCTTGGGCAGGCAGACGCGGCAGACACTGTGGTGGCAGGCGAGGAAGAGAGGTTCCCGCCCTCCCTGCTTCTCCGTCTGGTACTCCTCCAGGCACACGGGACAGCTGAGCAGGTCGTGGAGCTCCTGGTGGTGCAGCCTCCCAGAGGATAACAGGGCGCTGCTGCTGCTGCTGCTGCTGCCGCTGCTGCCGCTGCTGCCCACCGGACTACACGAAGTGGAGGTCGACATGCCGCTTCCCTGCGAGGCAGAACAGCTGATGTCATTGACATTTTTGCGGGAGAAACTGTTTTTGTTTTTGGTTTTTACGGATAAAAATTGCCGTAATTGAAAATGGATTCGGTTCGCGTAAAGTGACGTACTGTCCCGCTTGCTGTTGCCGGTCTGTTAGGTTAAGAAAGGACAGTTTGCAAATTAAATTTTCAAGACTTTTTGAGACCTTTAGATCTTTGCTGCCTTCGTAAGCGACCAGAGGACCCAAAACAAGGGCTGTTTTAGGTCCATTTCATTTGGAAAATAAATTTCCATTTTGGATTACGGCAATTTTTGGTGGTAGCGCCGACGAACGAAAAGCGCCGTTATTTGTAAGAGGACAGGTTGGTCATCATACTTCGTCATAATATTCGCTAGTAATAATGATTATTTAAGGTGGATAACTGTAGGATAACAAAGATTACTCAGGTTCCGGAGACAGATAATGTTTATGATAACACGGTATGTGGTCAATGCCTGCACTCAGATTCGCGCAGCTGGAGGTGGAGCGAGTTGACCAACAGTACTGGAGTAGTGAGTGCATGCATGAGTGCCTCGAGTCGTGCAACTGTCTACGTCAGGCTGCTCAAAATAGTAGCGGCCTTAAGTCGTCCTGAGGGTCGTTAACGCAGCGGTAGAGACGCTAGCCAGGAGTCAGCTCCACCCTGCAAGCACAAATAGTAAACACTCACACACATACACCTTGAACCCCAACAAGAAACAGACCCCAAAGCCAACCGACCTTTTTGGTAAATTCTTCCCTCCTTGGAGTAATGTAGGCGATACCGGATGATTCCGTAGGCGACCGTAGCTTGTGGAACATGGCTCGTGGCTTCAGACTCAGCCACGGCCGGTGAGTGGTAGTGGGAGCCCGAAGGTGAGGCGACTTCGATGTCTTGGGCGCCTGATGGAGGGACTTCGAAGCTCTAGGGTGCGGCTGGAGAGGTTTGGGTGCCCGGTGGTGGTGCGTCGCTCCGGAATCGGTCTTGTGGTGGTGCTGGATATGCGCTGGCTTCTTTGGCGTCGTCTTGGCTGATGTAGGTGACCTGGGATTGTGGTTGTGGCAGCGAGTCCTGGTTGGGATGTGGTAGTTCATATGTGGTGACCACTCCACCGGTAGTTCATGGCGGGTTGTGGCTGACTTCTCGTACAGTGGTTCTGGTCATTTACTGTCAGTCAACAGCTGAGTAATCCTAGTAAGAGAAGGAATTACGGTGAATTATATAGCACTTTCCTGAGAATAATCTCGTATTTCTCTCATTTTCTCCTGACTTGTGAGTGGTTTTATTTCACTATATGTAACATTGTGTGATATAAAATTAAACTTATACTCTACGTAAATGAATGAGTATACATATACATACGTATCCTTGGTCAGAGGACTCCTTAGTGATAAGATCTTGAAAACTCAATAGTCTCTTAAAGCTATGACGTCACAGGTGAAGGTCTCTCTCTCTCTCTCTCGCTCTGATTGGTTGAGCTCCTGGAAAGTAGATTAACATTACGCACAGATCTCACAATAGCATGATGCATCAAATGAACAAATCAACAAGGGCCATGACGGGGGTTCGAATCTCCTAGAGGCGCGTCTGGGATCCTCTCGGACGTAGATTCGAACCCTCGTCACGGCCCTTGTGGATTTGTTCAGTAGGTTAACATTAAATTACATTTGCTGTTGATGTTGTTACTGACATCATTGTTGATGGTATTGTTCACGTGTTAACATTAAACCTGTAGCCTTCGTGAATGGGTCCTCTGGTGGGGTGTGAAAACAAGAGGCCTCTGGCACCAGGGGATGTGTTGGGCTGTGTCCACACACACCCTGGCACCAGGGAATGTGTTGGGCTGTGTCCACACACACCCTGGCACCAGGGGATGTGTTGGGCTGTGTCCACACACACCCTGGCACCAGGGAATGTGTTGGGCTGTGTCCACACACACCCTGGCACCAGGGAATGTGTTGGGCTGTGTCCACACACACCCTGGCACCAGGGGTGCCAGGGTGAATGCAACAACGAAGTAGATTACCACCAGAGCTTCCAGTGCCAACTGTGTTCATCAGCCATGCACAGTAAATGTACCAACATACCAAATAATGTCAGGAAAATTGGTCCCAGAGACCACTCGGTGTACTGGTTCTGCAAAAAGAATATTACTGGTGTTCATTATATAGGCAAAGAAAACGAATTACGGAACAACTTGAGAGTCGCACCCTATCTCAAGAACGGCGAAGAAGGTTAGGTAGAGAAATAAAAACGATTGAACTAAAGCTACAAGAATCATACAAAACCCAAGAGAGGCAAAGAGAGCAAAAGGCCATCAGTGAAATAGAGAGAAATCTGAAAAAATTCTCCTATCCAAAATGAAGATCGTAAACCACATCTAGTATCGGGCCCCTGCGAAAGGCAGATGGAACTTTCACTGATGACAACAAAGAAATGAGCGAAATACTAAGGAATCAGTACGGCTCAGTTTTCAGCGAGCCACTAGGCACACTGAAGATTGCACAGTTGCTGGACCATTATGACATGGCATTAAATGCCATAGAAGACAAACAAAACGCTGATGTAATTGACACAGATTTCGCAAAAGCCTTCGACAAATGTGACCATGGTGTTATTGTACATAAAATGCGTTCAAAAGGAATTACCGGAAAAATAGGCAGATGGATCTACAATTTCCTGACTAACAGAACCCAATGTGTAATAGTCAACAAAATAAAATCCGGTCCATCAACCGTGAAGAGCTCAGTCCCCCAGGGTACTGTGCTTGCTCCAGTACTTTTTCTCATCCTCATATCGGACATAGACAAGGACACAACCTATAGTACTGTATCATCCTTTGCAGATGACACTAGGATTTTTATGAGAGTAGACAACATAGAGGACACGGCAAACCTCCAATCAGATGTAAATCAGGTCTTTCTATGGGCTACAGAAAATAATATGGTGTTTAACGAAGATAAGTTCCAGCTCATGCGCTACGGAAAAAATGAAAATATAAAAACGGAAACCACGTACAAAACGCAGTCAAATCATAACATAGAACGAAAAGGCAATGTAAAGGATTTGGGTGTACTCATGTCGGAAGACCTTACCTTCAAAGAACACAATAAAGTAGCCGTCACAACTGCAAGAAAAATGACAGGTTGGATAACAAGAACCTTTCATACCAAAGATGCAATACCGATGATGATACTTTTCAAGACGCTAGTGCTCTCTAGAGTGGAATACTGCTGCACAATGGCAATCCTTTTCAAAGCTGGAGAAATTGCTGACCTGTAGAGCGTGCAGAGATCCTTTACTGCTAGAATTCACTCATTAAAACATCTAAACTATTGGGACCGACTAAAGAGTCTAAATCTGTATTCTCTTGAGCGCAGGCGGGAAAGATACATAATAATTTACACGTGGGAAATAGTAGAGGGGTTGGTCCCAAACCTGCACACAGAAATAACATCACATGAGACCAGAAGGCATGGCAGGATGTGCAGAATACCCCCGTTGAAGAGCAGAGGTGCAACAGGTACTCTGAGAGAGAACTCTATCAACATCAGAGGCCCGAGACTGTTCAACACGCTTCCACTACACATAAGGGACATAACTGGCCGACCCCTCACAGTGTTCAAGAGAGAACTTGACAAACACCTCCAAAGGATACCTGATCAACCAGGCTGTGACTCATACGTCAGGCTGCGAGCAGCCGCGTCCAACAGCCTGGTTGACCAGTCCAGCAACCAGGAGGCCTGGTCGACGACCGGGCCGCGGGGGGGATGCGCTAACACACACACACACACACACACACACACACACACACACACACACACACACACACACACACACACACACACACACACACACACACAGCCCCGAAATCACCTCAAGGTAACCTGGGCCTCAAGCCTCTGTCCTGCAAAGACTGAGGCTACAGCAGCTGGGGTATGGTCACTGTACCAGAGACTGAGGTTACAGCAGCTGGGGTATGGTCACTGTACCAGAGCCTGAGGTTACAGCAGCTGGGGTATGGTCACTGTACCAGAGCCTGAGGTTACAGCAGCTGGGGTATGGTCACTGTACCAGAGACTGAGGTTACAGCAGCTGGGGTATGGTCACTGTACCAGAGACTGAGGTTACAGCAGCTGGGGTATGATCACTGTACCAGAGACTGAGGTTACAGCAGCTGGGGTATGGTCACTGTACCAGAGCCTGAGGTTACAGCAGCTGGGGTATGGTCACTGTACCAGAGACTGAGGCTACAGCAGCTGGGGTATGGTCACTGTACCAGAGACTGAGGCTACAGCAGCTGGGGTATGGTCACTGTACCAGAGACTGAGGCTACAGCAGCTGGGGTATGGTCACTGTACCAGAGACTGAGGTTACAGCAGCTGGGGTATGGTCACTGTACCAGAGACTGAGGTTACAGCAGCTGGGGTATGGTCACTGTATCAGAGACTGAGGCTACAGCAGCTGGGGTATGGTCACTGTACCAGAACCTGAGGTTACAGCAGCTGGGGTATGGTCACTGTACCAGAGTCTGAGGTTACAGCAGCTGGGGTATGGTCACTGTACCAGAGCCTGAGGTTACAGCAGCTGGGGTATGGTCACTGTACCAGAACCTGAGGTTACAGCAGCTGGGGTATGGTCACTGTACCAGAGCCTGAGGTTACAGCAGCTGGGGTATGGTCACTGTACCAGAGCCTGAGGTTACAGCAGCTGGGGTATGGTCACTGTACCAGAGCCTGAGGTTACAGCAGCTGGGGTATGGTCACTGTACCAGAGCCTGAGGTTACAGCAGCTGGGGTATGGTCACTGTATTTCTTCTGTATTGCTGTCGTTCTGATTGTTTCCTTAATGGGTGATAGACTCGGTGGTTTGTTATGGTGTACGTTCCTCCTGTGGGCTGTCATGTTGTCAGCTTCGTCTGCAATGTCATTCAATGATGTTGCCAGTTGATCAGTATTCAACGAACTTGGCGTTTGAGTGCTCGTCACGTGGGTGACGAGTGATGAGTGCTCGTCACGTGGGTGATGAGTGATGAGTGCTCGTCACGTGGGTGCTCATGTTGCAAGGCTTGCAATGGCAATTCTCCAATCTGTGAGCATGATGATTGAGTAGTCGGTGTTGAGCAAGATCGTGTTCTGTAGTTCACTGAATGGCTATTCAGTGAACTACAGAACTCTAATTTGTAAAGTTGAGAACCCGTTTGTGTCTCTGTGGAGTCTCGTGTTCTTACTCGCGGCTGCAGACTGTTTTCTCTCAGTCTTCTGGGGCTAGATTCACTAAGAAATTACGCAAGCACTTACGAACCTGAACATCTTTCATCCAGGAGGCTGTTTATAACAATAACAACAGTTGATTGGCAAGTTTTCATGCTTGTAAACTGTTTAATAAATGTAACCAAAATCATCAAAGATTGAGGAAAGATGTACACGTTCGTAAGTACTTGCGTAACTGCTTCGTGAATCTGCCCCCTGATCCGTCTGTGAAGTGTGGGGGAGCTCTCAGATACCAAGTTTGCTTCTGTGAAATGTATCGATAATGTGCATCTTAATATTGTTAAGGGAGTCTCTTGTCCCATCTTAGTCCCACCGTTGTGTTCCAGATATCGTCCCATTTTGGGTTTCATGAGCGCACCTACGTCACACCACCTGTAAACAGATGTTCTCAAGGCCGACAATGAACCATACAGCGTTCTGTCACCTCACACAGGATAAGGACGCAGGTAATAAAGATATCAGGAGATATTTGGGTGGGAGGGAGGGAGGGAAAGATGATTAAAAGAGGGGGGGAGCATGAGGAGGTGATGAGGGGGCCCTCCCACCTGCTAGACGACATGAGTATACCTCAGCCCTGATCATTGCCCATAAACATGGTAAACTCATACCAAGAAATGGGGTGTACCTCTCGGTGTTGGTGATGAGTAGTCAGGAAGATGACTACTCTAAACATTACGCGTGTTTAACCCGTTTAAGGTTAGGTTGGTGTAAACAGGATCGCAAAATATTATATGCAGAGAAAACAATTAAAAAATATAAGAAAACGCAGGGTCTTTGCGGGAAAGAAAACGGGTGGGAGAGGGGGGACTTGCGTTAAATTTATTCTTTGCGCATTTTCGTGAAAAACTAAGAACAAATTATTTACCAAAATGTAATAAATCGAGGTCTCAATTTAATCAAAATTTAAAGGAGAGGTAAATTCCGTATTAACACTAACAGTATGCCCCAAAATATAAGACGCGAGAATATTGTTAAGGAAATATATACAGAATGTCCATCGAGAGATTTTTCTTAAATTCTACTTTGGAATAAAATATTAAATGAACAATTTCTTTCTTCGTTAGGAAGGGAGTTCCATGTATTGTGTTCCTTTTGTTTAAATGAAGCTTTTGCATACATTTAATCTGACTCTGGGGGTATCAAAGAGATAAATTCAGGCAAATATTTTTTTCTAGTGTGATGCTCATGACTTCTAGGAAGTTACAAAT